GTCTCCACACTAACTGTGTAGCTTGACTGTGTTTGGCCTCATGTTACCTCGTATGATGTTCTAGGTGGCAGATAAGAAGAAGAAAAAGAAAAAGGAGAATGGGGCCAATAAGGTCAACACAGTTAAAGCTCAATTAAAGCCTGAAAGGAAGAAAATGAAAAAGAAGCTCCTAAAGTCTGCACAAAGAGAGGAGAGCCCTACGGAAATGACAGAAGTAAGTGTGTGCCTGATGCAAAGATACGATGGATGCTATGGGGAGCTACTGAATGGTCATGATCACATCCATGTAAAGTTATGATCTGTTCATCTGAATGTCAACATTTTTAGAACGTATTAATAATATCAGTAGTATTATTATTTATTTTTGACCCCTAAAACGACCATACTATTCAGTTACGGCTCATTGAGTCTGTCTGTTTTCAGATGCAGGAGGAGGAGTGTGTAAATGGAGATGGTGAGGATCTGGATGCTTTTCTGGCCAACCTATCAAAAGTCAGCAACAGCAGGGAGAGAGCGAGCAAGCTGTTCCAGTGGCTCATCAACCCCATTCCCGCCAAGTCCTTCTTCAGGTAACTGATGAGTGTGTTCTGTCTGTAAATGTGCTTTCAGTGCACAGACTCCATATCGATCAAAATGATACACCACGCACGAGGTGTCATCTTTTTCTTGGAGCATTCACCGGCTAATCTTTGTCCTCTTTCCCAAGGGAAACATGGGAAAAGAAGCCCATTCTTGTTCAACGCAAGAATCCAGATTACTACAAGGGACTGTTCTCCACAGCGGAGTTTGATCGCATATTAAGACAGGTAAGGATCTTAAAACACGAGTGAGACACTTATCCATCCTTAATTTGACTATAATTTCCCAACCTGTGTTGTAATTTAAGGCGGATCTTTCAAATTTACACACTCCAAAATTTTCATGTGGACACAGTTAATCAAAAGGAGACTGGTTGCATAATTTGTTAGCACTTTCTTTGTTCTCCGCAATCCCCAACTGCACAGACTAATAATTATCAAGAGAAGTTCTATGAAGTTGGGTTTCATTTTTTATTATATAATTACACATAAATAACAAGAACATGAAATAACACTTGTTGTTTTTAATGTGAAAATGAACCACCTCATTTTTTTTGTATATTATAATAGCTACGTGCCCCGATTTGTTCCATTTGATCCACTGTGAGGTTTTGTCTTGGGTTGCATTATGTTCTTTGATGAAGAAATGAAGACAAAGATCCTTTTCATACTGATGCTGATACTACATGTACGCTGCGTTGTTAAATTTAAGGAGGATGTTCAGTACGGAGTGAACCTAGATGTCACAAGCTACACTAATGGCACCAGGGAGACACACAATCCTCCAGGGAGAGCTCTGCCGTTCACTGTGTGGGACTTCTATGAGGTAAGGCCACATTTGGTGCAGGTAGCAGATTTGTGTACAGTATGTGATTATTTCTAATTCGGCATTACTGTGATTCTGCATTTTTATGGTCCTGATTTACATTTTTTATAATTGGGCCCTCTGCAGCGAGTTAGCTGCACCAGCCTCCTCTGTGGGCGTTATTAAAGTTTTCCTAAATTTTCGGGACCACCTTCATTAAAAAGCAGTTAGATGTATGTTTATGTATTAAGCAATGTATTCATTTTAATATTTTCTGTGCTGCAAGCTAGAAGCCATTTTGTGTTAAGTGCATTAACTGTATCAGCGCACCATCTGCACTGTTTGCAGATTAGTAACAATCATCACATCCCCATATCCTAGAGTGGCTGCTCCCTCCGCATGCTGAATCCCCAGGCTTTCTCGTCCACGGTGTGGAACGTGCTGTCCATCCTTCAGGAGCAGTTCGGCAGCATGGCAGGAGCCAACGTGTGAGTATTTGTGACAGTCATTGTCCTGGAAAACCTGTTCGGATACTATCAGTTACTATTTAAACTTACTATTACTTAATTTACTATTTGAGTTTTTTGTGCTTCAACCAGATACCTGACACCATCTGGAACGCAAGGCTTCGCTCCACATTATGACGACATTGAGGCGTTTGTGGTCCAGCTGGAGGGGAAGAAACACTGGAGAGTGTACAACCCGAGGTGAGACACCTGGAGGAATCTTTCAAAGAGCGGTTAAACTCACACCAACTTGTTTTTGCTACATTAACAATGCAGAAAACGATTTTGTCCTCATAGTTAGACGCAAGAAAAGAAGCTCACTGAAGTTGTTTTTCTGTTTCTTAGGACAGAAGATGAGGTCTTGCCTGTGGTGTCAAGTCGTGAGTAAAATAAATATATATGTCTTATAGTTTAAGTTTCTTGTGAAATACAGGATATGCTAATTAGGATTTATAGATACCTGTTTACTGTATGTTATTTGCTTTTCACACATCTACACAGAGAAAGGTAGCTCATTGCACAGAGGTGAAGGAATTTCTAATACTCAAGGGACAGCTGTCATTTCCCCAGACGTGACTGCTTTGCGTTTCCTCTCCAGCTAACTTCGAACAGGCAGACATTGGGAAGCCGATCCTGGAAGTGGTGCTAGAAGCCGGGGATCTCCTGTACTTCCCCCGTGGGTTCATCCACCAGGGCGACTGCCTCCCAGACGCTCACTCCCTCCACATCACCATCTCCTCCTACCAGAAGAACAGCTGGGGGGATCTGCTACAGAAGGTAATACAGTTCTGTTTGAGGCTCTTATTAGAAACCTACGTGGTCCAGGAAAGACAGCATCAGGGCATGGGTACTTTAACAGATGCCAGTTACTTCTCACAAACATTTATTGATTAAGCATTACAGGTATAGTGTAATAACTAATGGCATTCCCACTATAATGAATGTAATTTAACCTAGAGCCCCTTTTATGAAGTTTTTTTACATTTGCTGATCTAGACACATTCAGTTCTTCTTAGAAAAATACTTGGGAGCACAGAAAATTATGTTTGCATCTGCAGCAACAGCAGTTTTAAGGAATACAGAAGAAGAACTAATTTCTTCTTGTAGAACTGCGGTAATGCATGTGGTTTTAACAAAAAAATAAAAACCAAACTGTGTGAGTGTTTGGTAATTTGCTGATGCCCTGTGGAATGGTTCAAAAAGAATGAAATTTCTTTTGACGACAAAAGACAACAAAGACAGCATTAAGGCATGGGTAAAATAATATTTTTCATTTTGATTCTGTCTCTGATTTACACAAAGAAACAGTAAACGTTAATCTACACGCACATTTTAAAGGTTAATTTGAGGCAGGAGATATGCATTGTATTTTTGCATCTGCAGCAACACAAGTTAGTTTTGGAATACAGAGAATACCTGATGACAAAAACCCCATAGCAATCAGCACCCTGTACTACTTTAGACTCTTTTTATGTTATATTTTTACATTTACCAAAGCTCTTTCCACTTCCTAACTGCCCTTTTTTCAGGTGGTTCCAGTAGCATTGGAAATAGCAATGGAGGAGGATGTGGAGTTCAGACAGGGCTTACCTCTTGACTACCTAACATACATGGGAGTACAGAACTCTGACAAGGTAATTCATTCTTGTTTTTTGTATTTATTTGTCACTCCCTGTTCCTATCACCATCCTTGGCTTTTCAGCAGTCACACTAAATGATCCACACCCTCCTCGTGTGTGTAGGATGACCCACGCAGGACAAAATTCTTCTCACGAATCGAGAGTCTGATGAAGAAGCTCACAAATTACGCCCCGGTTGACGCTGCCGTGGATCAGAAAGCCAGAGACTTCCTCCATGACTGCCTTCCTCCCATGCTCACTCCAGGTATATGATGGATATTATATTTATTAATTATATGGAATTGTGCAGCTTGCATAATGCTTCTGAGTCAAACTATTTCATCACCCACAGAGGAACTGGACAGCAGTGTGAGAGGAGCACCTGCTAGGTGGGAGCGTGGGCAAGTTATGGATGCAGGAGCACACATCACTACCCAGACCCGAGTCAGAGTTCTGCGTGCTGGGTGTGCCAGGTAATACAACTTTTTATTGCATTTCACAGCACGTTCACACCAGGCAGGTTTGAAATGGAATATGTAAAATGTGGAGCATGGCGTCTTTGTCTTTAAGAGCGTATGCTTCAGTGATCCATTAATGCAGACGTGAGAAAAATGGTAGCGTCAGTTCAAGAGATTTAGCTTATGAGCTTTCTGTCTTTCCCAGGTTATGCAGTGATGGAGAAGCTGTTCATCTTTACTACACAACAGACAACTCCAGAGTTTACCACAAAGAGGAGCTCAAGAGTTTCGAAATAAAAGAAGAGGTAGATTGGAAGATCTGTATAAATGTCTTGCACAGTGTCCGAATGATGCCACCACCGCCTAATTATTGTTTTCCCTTTCAGCACACAGACGCCATTGAGTTTCTGATCCATTCATATCCCAAATTTGTGACTGTGGGAAGTTTCCCGTGTGATTCTGCAGAGGACAGGGTATGTTGTTTTTAAATGCATACAATTTGTGCTGAGATGTGATAACTGCTGTACATTCAGGTGTGGTTTCTGTTGTTTGTACGGTCGTGTGAAAGTGTTTTGGTAATAGGCATGTCTTTCGCACCCATTTCTGTAATGTCCATGAACACATCTAATTATATAGATATGTATTCCAAACGATAGATATTTGACCCTGATTTTTTTTTTTTTTGTGAAATTAGTAGTTTGAGTTGTTTTTCATGTTCTTGTTTTTTTTTCCCATCCAGATTGCTTTGGCTGAGCTGCTTTTTCAGAGGGGGATTATCCACACTGCAGAACCTCTGTAATGGCCACAGACTCATCCGTCATGCTGACTGCATGAATAGATCCAAATTGACTTTGTACAAAATAAGATCTTAAATGCACAACACAGTCTTCTTTGGCTTTACTGGAATGGTCACACTGAACAACCAATTTATTATATGTCTGTTCATCTGTCCACTATCTAATAAACCAGTTTTCGTTTTTGTAATGAAATGATGTTGTGTGTTATGCAACCAAAATCACAAAAGTACTAAATGATTTTGATGAGAAAGGGCATGTTTATTATCGGTTGATACAACTCAAAATATTAAAGATTACTGGTTGACCCAACACAAAAACAGATACAGGAGTCTTTTTAAATATTCTGATTTGAGGACCACCATCAGTCACACCACAGATGAAAGGTGACATTGACAGGTAGGGGTCGTCTACTTCCAGGTCAACTCCTCACCAGGCTTCAACTCCCTAAAGAGAACACATCAGAAGTTAGAAATTTGCAAAAGGTTACACCCAGAGCAACATTGGCATTAGATTACCTTTATGTGTGGCAAGTTTTTAAAATGCTTACTATCACATTAGCAAATTGTACTTACATTAATATGTTTAAAGTGTATTAAGCTTGGTTCTGGACAAGATATAACACAAAGCTACAGGCTGTAATCAGTTTTTTGGTTAGTTGGGTATGTGGAGAACTGGTTATTGGATAGCTGTTTGTGTTGCATCTGCAATTACATGTTTCTCCATTTATCACTGAGCATTCTGCTGGCTTATATGCATAATTAGTTCAAATAATGGGTATGTAGTAGTACAAAATCATTGTCACAAGACTGTGGAAGAAAATGGCACATGGACCTAAATTCACTGGTAAAAGGGTTGAAAAATGTTTACTCTTACCTGCTGTACAAAGCACTTTTGTTCCTGAAAGCTGTCAGCTTCTGGTCCTGTTGCTTGTCAAGGTACCATCCAATCACAAAGCCCATGGGCACCAAGATGTTCGCCCAATGTTCCCGGGCAAATGATAAAAAGTTAACCATGGTTCCTGCAGAAATAAGCAGAAAGCACATTGTAACATAAATTCTGTGGCATGGATTTTATACTCATCTAAAACAGTTATGCTTACATTTAGAGTTAGGGGAACTGATGTCATATGACAGAATTATTCAAGTTAATCTAAAACGGTGACATTACTAGTGAAGATCATGCCATTGAAACAAACCAGTGCAACATTTGCATAGAATGAATACTGGATACACTGAAGTACCCACATGACATGAGCTTGGGATAACACAGAATACTTTGATCAGCCACTAATCCATTATTTTTAAAGGACTTGGTTTAGAGAGACACATAAATTGGTGGGAAGCTAATTCTTAGTAAAAGGTGGCATTATACTCTATGTGCCTGAAAAGATTAACTGGTAACTCCAACATAAAAGACAACATTTTCTCCATCACACCTGAGGACCTACAGAGGAGAAGACAGGGCCACCGACTGTCCATCTTTATTTACAGGACCTCCAACAAACTAGTACATTAAGACTACTTCACAAATTAAGCTGATTGGACGTATTTCCGATTGGGAATTGATAGGATTGTTCAAAAAATATCTATATATGACCAATCATGACTTACAAGACAGCTTTTTTTGCTTTTAGCCTTTACACAAGTATATTTTAGGGGACACACAACATTTGGACTAAGTGCTGACAGAAACATAATGAAGGGTAAGGAGTTATTCTTTCGACAACCATATTATGCGGTAGCTGTCATTTCACCCTTTACACTGTGTATTAAAATACAGCTGCCTACGAAATGAAACTAAAATTGCATATAAAATATATTTAACCTAGAACCAGCAGGTGAGCAGGAACTGGCTAAGTAGCTAGCATTGGCAATATGTGCCATGTTTCCGCTGCTGGCTCCTCAGATAAAGTAGTTACCTTGTTGTGTTCGCTGTGTATAACCCAGTTTACATGTTAGAGCACAACTGCGTGAACAATACAGAGGCAGGACGTCTGAATATGTAAAATATTACCTTGTGTTTACACCGAGTCGTGGCCTTCAGTGCTTCATTCACCAAGCAGAGGACATTGGACTCTACCAACTGTGCAAAACACGACAGTGGTACTTGAACAATACAAACACTGTGAATACCATAATTGCCTATATGGTTGGTTTTATATAACTTGTCACATATGAATTCACAATATTTAAATACATTTGCTTAAATATAGAGCGATAAAAATAAGCGTTCTGTGTTTTGATTCATGACATTTGTTTGTACTAAACCCGCCACACTTGGTACCGTCCTGTGCCCTTTCCCACATGATGCAGCGGCTAACATGGTTGCTAATTATTGTGTATTCAAAACCCCGCTAGTCAAAATGTCTTAATGTTGGAATTATAGCAACTCCACTTACTGTGTTTCTCTTCCAACGGGAGAACATTTATATTATCTCATATTTATTGGTATGTTGCACTTTCCTTTGTCGGTCCAAGTCATTTAACGTCCACAAGCCAAACTGTAGCTAGCATGCTAAATAGACAGTATCTTTGCCGGGTAATTTGTTGTTGCTGTTGCGAACTAGCTGTGGCTACTAAAACCTGTTTACTTTTAAATGTACTTACTGCTCGATCAGGCCGAACTTACGCACCATCATTCTGTGATATCGTGCAAGTTCAGTCTGCAACCGAGCCACGTTTCTGTTGCGTTTTCTTTGTTGGTTCAATTGAATGAGTTTTGCGCTCAAGTCAGAAAGAGACACAACACTTAACGTAACGTGAGGTGAAGCTGTTTTGGTGACTATGATGGTTGCGTTGTGGTCAGCATAGCCCAGTGGTAATCTGGTTTTACTTTCAGCGTTACATCTGAAGAATAATGACGTCCATTATCAAGCTGACAGCCGTGTCAGGGGTTCAGGAGGAGTCGGCCCTCTGTTACCTGCTGCAGGTGGATGAATTTCGGTTCCTCCTGGACTGTGGCTGGGATGAGAACTTCTCAATGGACATCATAGATGCTATGAAACGGTATTTATGGGCTCAAGTCTTATGCTTAATCAGTTTTCCCTCGGCTCTGCGAATTAAAACAAGTGTGTGATGTCCATTTCCCCCTCCAGATATGTTCATCAGGTCGATGCTGTGCTCCTGTCCCACCCTGACCCCATACACCTGGGAGCCCTGCCATATGCTGTGGGGAAACTGGGTTTAAACTGCACTATCTATGCTACAATTCCTGTCTACAAGATGGGTCAGATGTTCATGTATGATCTATATCAGGTAAGAAAGGGGTGTAGTAAATGTCATGTAAAGTTATTTATTAGTAGAAGTTTAGAATTGCTTTCTTAATTACCGTAATGCCTTCTTTCTACTCAGTCTCGAAACAACAGTGAAGATTTCACACTGTTCACCCTCGATGATGTGGATTGTGCTTTTGATAAAATCCAGCAGCTGAAATACTCTCAGATTGTCAATCTGAAAGGTGAGTTAGTTGCAGACCCTCATAGGTCAGAAGTCGACCCCAATTTATGTATCGCATGACACCAAAGTGTTTAATATCTTTCTTTTTACCTGATAGGGAAAGGGCATGGTCTTTCCATCACTCCTCTTCCAGCTGGTCACATGATTGGAGGCACAATTTGGAAAATTGTGAAGGACGGGGAGGAGGAGATTGTTTACGCTGTGGACTTCAACCACAAGAGAGAGATGTGAGCATGGACAAAACAGTCGTATTAAAATGGAATTGAATTTTAGGTTAGTTTGTTAGTTTATGCCATTTTTTTTTTATTTTTTTTACTGTGTTTGTGTTCTGTCTGTTCTGCTTACTCTACTCTAGCCACCTCAACGGCTGCACGTTGGAGAGCATTAGTCGTCCTTCCTTACTTATCACAGACTCCTTCAATGCTACATATGTACAGCCACGTCGCAAACAAAGAGATGAGATGCTTCTCAGTAAGTAATCTTCACAAGACTCTATAGTAGTAATGTGTGTGTTTAATAGCCCTTATATGACCTCTTACTTGGTTTTTTTTTATTATTATTTTCTAATTTGTTTGCTTGTTTACTCACAGCCAATGTCATGGAGACCCTTCGTGGTGACGGTAATGTCCTGATCGCCGTGGATACAGCTGGCCGTGTGTTGGAGCTGGCTCAGCTCCTGGACCAGATTTGGAGGACAAAGGATGCTGGGCTGGGAGCTTACCCACTGGCTCTGCTTAACAATGTTAGCTATAATGTGGTGGAGTTCTCCAAGTCCCAGGTACCAATCACAGATTATCAAATTTTAGAAGATTAGAAATCTGAATCCCTTTTATAGGATGTCACGTGGCAGCAAATTCTAACGTTCTTTTCAGTCATGATTGTTAATCTCTATTGTCTTCCGGTAGGTGGAGTGGATGAGTGATAAGCTCATGAGATGTTTTGAAGACAAGAGAAACAACCCCTTCCAGTTCCGTCACTTGACCCTGTGCCACAGTCTGGCAGACCTGGCCCGGGTCCCCAGCCCCAAGGTGGTGCTTTGCAGCCAACCAGACCTCGAGTCCGGTTTTTCCAGAGAACTCTTCATCCAGTGGTGCCAAGACGCCAAAAACTCTGTCATCCTGACCTACCGCACTACACCTGGAACCCTGGCCCGCTACCTCATCGACAACCCCGGAGAGAAGATGCTGGATCTGGAGGTGAGACCAGCTGCTGATTTACTGGGATAGAGGGTTTTCAATTTATCTCTTCATGCAGCATTTGCCCCACGGGGGAAGCTCCTGTCTCTCACATTCAGACCCAGCTAAGGAAACAACAAAACATGTCATTCTGTCATTCGCACCATATCCATCTTTCACTTTTCTCGTTACGACAGGTGAGGAAAAGAGTGAAGCTCGAAGGCAAGGACCTGGAAGAATTCCTTGAAAAGGATAAAATGAAGAAAGAAGCCGCTAAAAAGCTGGAACAAGCAAAAGAGTAAGTCTCAGTAGAAACAGACGCGGCTCGACTGGGTGCTTAAGGGTTAGATGTCTCTTTTTGATGATGTTGCTTCATGTCTGTTGGTGTAACAAAACATTTGAGTCATATAATTTCAGAGTCTGTTAACAAAGCAAATTATGCAAATTGTATAAAAAGCCAACTGAAATGCAAATGATGGGGATTGCAAATCAAAAACAGTAAATGGGAGATGAGTCTTGACACTTGACAACATTTATACTCAAAAAAAGTCTGTCTGTCCTTGGAAAAATGTAACTCATATATAGACGGTTAATGGTTATTTCATGAACTTGCAGGGTGGATGTGGACTCCAGTGACGAGAGTGACATGGACGATGATCTAGATCAGCCAGTTGCCGTGAAAACCAAACACCACGACCTGATGATGAAGGCCGAGGGGAGCCGCAAAGGCAGTTTCTTTAAACAAGCCAAAAAGTCTTATCCAATGTTTCCCACACACGAAGAGAGAATCAAATGGGACGAGTACGGGGAAATCATCAGGTGCTACCATATTGATACACGTGAACATCAGATTGCAGAAAGATGGATACAGAGAAACTACACTCCTCTGTATTTTCTCCCATCACCAATTAACCACTGTTGTTCTTTCACAGGCTAGAAGAGTTTCTGGTTCCTGAACTGCAAGCCACCGAGGAGGAGAAAAGCAAATTGGAATCCGGGTTGACCAACGGCGATGAGCCCATGGACCAGGATCTCTCTGTTGTTCCCACCAAATGCATCTCTAGTGTAGAAAATCTCGAAATTAGGTCAGTGATCTTCTGAATCTGTCTGTGTCTGTAACAACAACTCTGCAGGTTTACGGTCCCTTTAAAAAAAAAACTGCCACTGGAGTTGATCAGTGGCCAACGGTACAGCACTATAGTGTGTTGGATGGCCTCCAGATGTGAAAGAGTGTAACTCTGTGAATGTTAAGTGTTGTTGTAAAAAGTTGTCTTACTCAGCAAACCTATTCTGCATAAAGTACAAGTCTTGTCTAGGCTGGTATTAAACAATGTTTGACAAATCAGCAGTATTAAAAAGCTTTGTCCCGTCTTCCTCCTCCTACAGGGCGAGGATAACGTACATAGATTACGAAGGTCGCTCCGATGGCGACTCCATCAAGAAGATTATTAATCAGATGAAGCCTAGACAGCTGGTGATCGTTCGCGGACCGCCAGAGGCCAGCCTTGACCTGGCTGAGTCCTGCAAGGCTTTCAGCAAGGACATAAAAGTGTACACACCGAAACTGCAGGAGACTATAGACGCCACCAGCGAAACGCACATCTACCAGGTCAGCCTCAGTAAACGCCTGCTTGGTTTATTTTTCAACAGAAGGAATTTAGTTTTTGATTGCCTATACAGAATTGTTGTACCCAAGTTATCCCTTCAGATGTGTTTTTATAGTTTTATAAACTCAAATATTCTGCCGTGAAATTGTAAAACCGATTTCTTTCAGTTAAAGCATAAAAGCAACCTTCCATGACAGGTAAATGTCTTCATCTTGTCTCACCTTCTCACGTTAAAGGTGCGGTTGAAAGACTCCTTGGTGAGCTCCCTGCAGTTCTGCAAGGCCAAAGACACGGAGCTGGCCTGGATTGATGGCGTGCTGGACATGCGCGTGGTAAAGGTGGACACAGGCGTGATGCTGGAGGAGGGTGTGAAAGAGGAGGCTGAGGACGCCGGCGAGCTGGCCATGGACATCGCCCCCGATCTTGGCATGGACAGCAACGCCACGGCGGTGGCAGCGCAGCGTGCCATAAAGAACCTGTTTGGGGAGGATGAGAAGGAGATGTCTGAAGAGAGTGATGTCATTCCCACGCTGGAGCCACTGCCTCCACACGAGGTAAGGCGGGGAGCGCTTTACAGCAAAGTTGTTATTATTTCTGAATATACATTTTTTTTTGCTATTAAGCTTAAAGATTCTCTCCACCCTGTTCGGAATAATAATTTGGGTCTGATGTGGGTTTTTTTCACAGAATAATGTAATTGCATCGTTAAAAATGTACATCTTCTCCCACTCCGTAACTGAGAAATCTATGAATATGCAAAGATTTTCCTTTTAAAGAGTTTTAAGTGCTGGTCACAAATTGTCTCCCACTTCACTGTGTGCATGCTAATAGCTGCATATTGGACTGAGAGG